GGGGGGGGGCAGGCGGGCGGGAGGGGCCCCCGCATGCCGGTCCTGACGCCGCTGCGCTGGGTAGTGCTCACCTACCCGGGCGCGCACTCGGGACTCCGGGCGCAGAGCTCCGCAGCCCCCCGCTGGCCCGGGGGGTGGAGGGGGTGGGAGGACCACTGTGACTCGGGGAGGGAGTCTGGCGGGGGCTTTGTTGCACCCCCGCCCCGACACACACACACCGGCCCCAAGATTGGGCCGAGGCGGTGGCACAGGTGTGACGCGCGGGGATGATTTCTAGGAGCTGGGCTCTGTCCCGCCTGAGGATGGAGCTCCGTGGGGCCGGGCTGCAGGAGAGACCGGGGAGGGACCCAGCGCACTGGGGGCGGGCTCGGTGGTCTCCGAGGCCCTTCTGCGCACACAGGTGTGATTCTGAGTCTAGAACCATATCGGGAGGACGGTGGAGAAGGAAACTAAAAATCAGCCCAGAGACACATTTCTCTCGTACAGTCCGCTGGCACGGAAATGGTTACTAGAGAAAACCCTGACTTCTAAGGGGTCCTCCTTCCATCTCTTCCCGCACCCCGCAAAGGCCCTTTCAGACTCTAAAGATGACCTCCTTTAAGAGGAAGCCCTCTGGTAACTGAGTCGAGACTGCCCTGCCCTGTGGTTCTGTCTTCAGTCCGAGGTATCAGCTGGACTGCCCGTTTCCTTTTCCTTACCCTTCTCTAGGACCCTCTTTGGACACTCTGGCACCGGGCCATTGCATCCTGGTGCCCGCCATGAGGTCCTCGGCGCAGCCCGGACTGCTGCTGCTGCGATGGCACAGTTTCCCTTGGAGGCTACAGGTGCACAAAGCCGTCAGGCACCCGGTTAGAACAGGTGTTAGTTCTTGAGGCTGGTCTATTATCGCCTGAGTGTGCGCATGCGCGAGCGTTCTGCAAATGAGGCTGGATTGCGTAGTTTTCACTTTTCTTGTTCCTCCTCCACAAATATAGCGGAAAAAAAATCTTGGGCTTTTTGACATATCGTGGGACTGTTGCCTTCCTCTCCCCCAAATTCCTGACATCCTGCCTCCGAGACGCCATCATCCCTCCTCTTCCGCCAAGTAAACTGGACAATCTGTACGTCTAGAAATCACAAACGTCCCATGCTTTCATCCAGATATCTCAGTTTGGCTTTCATAACCTCAGGACGGAGCTATTCTGTACCTCTCCAGCTTAATTTTTCTGCCTGTGTGGCTTTAAAAATCCATTTCTTAAGGGCAATTGCTACCTTCATTTCTTTTTTCTTTCTTTCTTTTTTTTTTTTTTTGCGGTACGCTGGCCTCTCACTGCTGTGGCCTCTCCCGTTGCGGAGCACAGGCTCCGGACGCGCAGGCTCAGCGGCCATGGCTCACGGGCCCAGCCGCTCCGCGGCATGTGGGATCCTCCCGGACCGGGGCACGAATCCGGGTCCCCTGCATCGGCAGGCGGACTCTCAACCACTGCGCCACCAGGGAAGCCCGCTGCCTTCATTTCTATTCATCCTCTCCTGCTTCATGAATAAAAGGACCAGTCATTGCTCCCATCTTTTCTTTTCATGCTTTCGCGATGAAGGGCTTTCTTCACATGTTTTCCCCCCCCCACCCCGAAGAAATCAATAAGCTTGTCATCTATAGTATAGTCTTTATTATAACCAAGATTAGAGATATCATCTGATGTTTTAAGTTGGGTTCTTATTGTGATCCTGCTTGTGTACTCTTGCCCCCAAAAGACGTGGTTTGTATTCTGAAGCAAAGACCCTTACATTTCAGTACACCATCATTTTAAACCCCAAAGTCTTTTTTAAAAATAATATTTATTTACTGCTTATCATATTCTAGTAGGATCTTGGGTTTAGTTTTTTTTTAAACATCTTTATTGGAGTATAATTGCTTTACAGAGGTGTGTTAGTTTCTGCTGTATAACGAAGTGAATCAGCTGTACGTATACATATATCCCCATATCTCTTCCCTCTTGCGTCTCCCTCCCTCCCATCCTCATTATCCCCCCCACCCCTCTAGGTGGTCACAAATTACCAAGCCGATCTCCCTGTGCTATGTGGCTGCTCCCACTAGCTGTCGTAAGCACCAAAGTCTTTTTTCCTTCTTCTACAACTTGGAAGTTGCCCTACCTGTGAAAATGAGTGGTCTTATGTAAGCAAAATAGTGAACATTACTATTAATTAACCTTTTAAGGGGATGGGCTATGAAGAGCCGTGAGTTTCAGTTTCTTCCAGCTTCTAGCCGGTTGGTGTGAGGTATTGGATTGAATTGGCACAGAGTTAGCACAGACGGGCAGAGAAACGGCTCAGAACACAGTCTTCCTTTGATGCTTCCCAAACTGAAAGGAAGGCTTGGTGGTGGTGGATATGAAGCAGCAAGAGAAGAATGCAGTAGGGTTTTTTTTTTTTATTTGGTCCATGGCGGAGAAAAGAGAGAGAGAAGATAAAAGAAAGAGGCGAGGGTAAGGAGAAAAAAATAGCTTTGGCCGAGAGGAAACTATATAGGAAAGAAATGCAAAACTTTCAAGACACTAACGTTTTGTACTGTTGGAAGTAATGAAATATTCAAAATCAACTTAAGAGCATGTGCAACTGTTATTTAAGGAGAGGTGCCACATATACAAAATACACAAGAGAAGGGATTTTTTAAAAAGCATAATATGCATGATACACTTAGAATTTAAGTTCTGTAGCTCCTAGAGGTTCCTCCCAGACAGGCATTTTAGGACTAATCCCCTTCTCACCCACCATCCCTCCGCCAACACAGTGTTTTTGGACAAAGCAGGCATCTCTCTGTTCACCGGGCATCTATGTTGAGACATGCAGTTTTCTTTTACAGCACATTCTTTTCATGGCAAGCAGGATTGCACTCTCTAAAAAGTCAGATTAGTGGAATTTATGCATCCTTAGTCTTGTGCATTAATGGGCTGGCCTACTCTCCACCAGTTCTAGGAATAATGATTCCATGCAGATTGCAGTCTAGACAGTGCTCTCTTGGAGAAAAGGTAGGACCAGTTAAAACATCTAAAAACTACAGCTCCTTGGGTGGGAGGGCAGATGCTGATCAGGGATGCTGTAGGGCCAGGCGTATATCTCAGCCCTTTCTATGGTGCACACACAAATTCATTTTTAAGTAATTCACAGTACCTTAGGAAAGAGTGTCCTGAGTTAACCATCTTTTATTCATGGTGCCCCTCATTTCCACGGTTGATGTTAACACAGATAAGATAAAAGGAGGAAAATGAACCAGGTACAAATTAACTCACTAAGCATTGGCTGCAAATGAAGGAAAGTAAAAGCTGAAAGGTCTCCAAATTAAATTAAAGGTGCAATAGGCACCCTGTGTCCAATTTATTCCTCCCTGGTAACTGGAATGGAGCTTTCTTCTCCCATCCAGCTAGCTAATTTTCAGGCTGCCCTTTCAACTGAGCTGTGCACCAGGAAAGAAAGATTTGCATCGAACAATCCTATGCTTAATAGCCAAATCCATTTGCAAATGAAGCTGTGTGAATTGTGGCCGCAGAAGCTGGGCTGCCCATTGGAGAAGGAGGTGCCTGGAGTTTTCCACGTTGCCAGTAACTCAACATGGCCTCTTCCTGTGGCCTTGATGGGGTTTTGCACCGTGGCCCACAGGTAATCCTGCTGCCTGCCGCCTGCACACCCCATCGACATAGCTCTCCGGAAACGCTTATTTGCAAAGGATTTACACGGCTTTCATAAAAATGGCAGCCACAGACAAATGGGACTGTAGCTGGTCACATTTTCAATAACGCAATTGATCAGATTTCTGTCCTTTGCTAGAAAACCTTCCAAGCTCTCTTGAGTTTAAAGCAGCCGCTTTGCAGGTGAAGTTACTTTCACCTTGGGAAACCCGTTGAGTTGAAAGGTTAAAAAAGGGCACTTTCCAAGCAAGGAAATGAAACTTTTAAAACTTTAGATTGAACGAGGTGAGGCTGAAAGACAAGCTGACTCTGAAAACACCTTAGGGGCTCAGGAAAGGGCTCAGTTAATGAGACCGCCTTTGGAAGACGTTTCTGGCAAGCAGTGAACTAGAGAGGCCCTTTGTTTGGATGCTGTGTTGGGTGCAGTTAAGCGGTTTGTGTGCTGGGAGTGGTGAGGGCGAGTTTGTCCTGCTCTTTTCTGATCATTTATACATATGTTCCTCCCTTTACATGCAGCTCACTGGAGCCCCTAATCCAAAGGATATTCAGATTTACAGTGTTTGGCACTTTCCCCCAAATAGTAGATTCTGAATGTATTTCCTAAAAGGAGACAGGAGATCTCCCTTTCCTTTTTCCCTTGACTCAGTTACTTGGTATAGGGTAATTATCTTTTTAAAGTGAAGAAACCTCAAAGATTCTCTTTGGGGGTAGTATCCAACGACGATTTTACCTGAAATGCTCCCCTTGTGTTTTCTTTCTTCCCACCTAAAAGCATGTTAATAGCCACGCCATAAGTCTGATCAAACGTGAGAATTGTGTAAACTGGATTTATAAAACTACGGGCAGCTTTCTTAGGCTATCAGTATTAAATCTGTACATTTTCTTTACTCCCGCTGGATGTACAGTACTTGAGCTGTGGTTCCTTTTGGACAGGGTTCTCCTTGGACACCAGCAGTTTTCATTTGGATTTTGATATTTTAATGGGCCAGAAATAACTCTGGGTTTAAAAGGCCTTCTCTCTTCTGCCTCTTCCTATTGTCTTTTTCCCATTCTTTGTCCTCCAACCTACTTTTCACCGATTATTCTGTCTCATGAATAGACATGAAGGCATGTCCGGGCTATTGTTGGCTACAATGAATGTGTGTCTTTTAAGCATTTAGACTTTGTCTGAAGCTTCTTGGAAACTAGTGGGCGACTCCATTTTCTTCCATCTACCCCACTTGCCTCTAGATTGCAGCCTTGTAAATTTTCTCGTGTGAACAGTAATGGAATAGTAATTGCTTTTAAGGCATGCTACAAAAGCAGAACAGAATAACCGAAGTCGA